TAACAAATTATCACTGGGTGAAAAAGTAGATTTTGGGGTTTTTAGAATAGGGGTTTTGGGGACAAGATGGAGGGACTTGGGTGTGTCCAGCCTTTCTTCTTCTTCTTCTCTACCTCCATTTTCTGCAGTAATGTTGGCACTTTTGGATTGGTTTAGAGTAGAAGCTCAATGTCTAACATAGGTGATTGGAAAATTTGTAATTACAAATATGTTACACATAGTTTTTTGTATAAAGAGATAACACCACTCCGGGGGCAGGCAGAGTGCCTAGAACTGTCCTGCTGGACGGACCTCAGCAGGGCAGGAGAAAAATTTTCGTATATAAGATACAATAAACAACTCTGAGAGCGAGAAATGAAGAACTCCAACTCATTCTTCAACGTGCAGGCTGAAACAGAGACTGTTCATGTGTCTCAGGGCTGCAATAAACTGCCACCTCCGAGCCCCTGCTGTGGGGTGCACAGATCTGTGTTTTGGGGACAGTAAATGTGAGCTGTGGCCAGCAGCAGTCCCTGCCTGCCGTGTCCCAGGGACAGACAGATGTGCAGGACATGGGGATGCTCTGCACGGCTCCAGCCCCCACCCCAAAAGCCCTTCCCAGCAAGGCACTTACAGCCCGCGGGGAAATCGCTACCCAGCAGTTCCTGTAACTCATTTCCAAGGCAGGAATTGGGCTTGGTTTGAAGTGCCCTGCTCGGCAGGGATGAGCCACAGGAGGGGATTGAACAAGGAGCCACTGTGGGGACAGAAACCTCCGGATCTGAGTCACAGGAGCCGGCGCTGCCGACAGACACGGATAATCGCATTTTCCCTCTGTCATTTTATTTAACCGTTATTTAGCGGACCCAGAAATGACAAATGCATTTTAAATTATTAGTTTTACGCCAGGTTTGCTTGTTACGATCCCTGTTAGGTTTTATTGCGGTGTCTCTCTCGGCCGTTGATTTGTCTGGGTAACGCTGCCCTGGGAGCTGTGGGGGGGCTGGCACCCCTTCCCTCCTCCTGCAGCCTCCCTCAGCCTTCCTCCCTCCTCCTGCAGCCTCCCTCAGCTCTCCCTCCCTCCCTCAGCCTTCTTCCCTCCTGCTGCTGCCCATCTCTGAGCCAGGGTGTGATTTCCTCGCTGCTGTTTATTGCTGTTTGTGCTGGGTGCCAGCAGGAATCCATCCCTCCTCTCACACCTGCCAAGGAGATGCTCCAGCTGTGGGGTGTGAGGGAGGGCTGGAGCTGGGGTCTCGCTGCTCCCACTCCTCCCTTCGGCCCCAGCTGCTCTTTAACCACATTTCTGCTCCCGGTGTTTGTGTCTGCCCGTGCAGGGCAGCCCTGGGCAGGTGAGCAGCAGGTCTGGGCTGTGGGGTCTCACCTGCAGCTGCTCAGGCTTGCAGGGCTGATGGATTTCTGGCTCCTTAATTAGAGCTTCAGGAGCACAGCTGCACCCCACAGTTTGTCTTTGGAGTAAAAGCCATAAAATAAGCTGACAGTGATAAATCCAGGAGATGGTGGCTCCAGCAATCTCCGCTTTGTGTTTCCATGCCTGTACTAACCAGGGATTTCCTGGAGCAGGGAACATTGATTTCCATTCTTGTTCCGAACAAACAGGAGCTGAAATCCTCCTCAAAGGGAGATCTGAGAAAATTTCCTCCTCAGAAGTTTCCCAGTAGTTTCCAAGCCAGCAGCAGAGCCTGGGATTGTTATTTGGAGCTGGGCTGCAGCTGGCATCCCCATCCCAGCTGCCCATGAAGCAGCAGAAAGCTGCAGGGCTTTATGCACCAGCTCATCCTGAAACACATTGTCAGGGATGTTCTGCCTTTGTGTAAAGAACAGCCAGCCAAGCAAGACAGAAATATCCCCAAAACAGCAAGGGGAAGGTGAGCAGGCCCGGGGGAAGCAGCAAGGTGGTGCCTCTGAGGAGCAGGGGCTTGGGACGTGACTCAGGCCTTCCTCATCTCTTATTTGCTCCTCCAGGGGTCACATCTTTGACACAGCCTGGGGAAGGAGTGGGAATGTTTCACGTGTCCCTGTTGGTTTTATGGAGTAACAAAGACTATCTGTATTTCTTCTTGTGCAGATTATGAAGGAGTCATGCAAATTGCTTATACATGTATTATCCCCTTCAATCGTTGATGTTCCCGGGTGAAAGCTAATGGATTTATGGATTGGTTTGCTGCAATCATTGCATGAGGAGGCTGGAGGCAAGGGCAGAGAGGCAGATGAGGGAGGATGGAGGAGGGAGCAGCAGCCCCGCTTTAGCCCCAGGTGAAACTCCCCCTCCAGTTTGGTTAAAAGCAGGGGTTGTGCTGAGGGCTGTGTTTGCTGTCCCTGGCCATGGCAGCTGTCTTCCCAGCAGATTCCCTTCCTGCAGAGAGGGACAGACCCTGCTGGAGGGGACACTGGCTGTCACTGCCCTGCAGGGTCACAGGAAACATCCCCACCTGTGCCATTGACCACCGCCCAAGGAATGGCTAACGCAGGGGGATTTGGGCACGTGAGCCTTTGCAGAGCTGGTGTGGGCACTGCCAGGGTAAAGCACACAAAGGAAAATCCCTCAGAAGGGTCTGGGATGATCCACAGAGGATTTGGCAATGCAGAAGGCAGTGCAAAGGACAGGGATGCAGAGATAAGGCTGCACAAGGGCTTAGCGGTGCTCAGTCGTTGAGTGTTTCAGATTTACAAAGCGATTAGTGGGGTAACAAATCAGTTTACTGTAATTACAGCAATGCTCAGCTACAGAGCTGAGATAGCTGCACTGATCCATAATCGACTCACACTCAGGTAAAACCTGGTGTGCACCTGTTTCCAGGTGTGGAAATAGCCTCTCCAAAACTCCTTGTGCTTCAGGGAGACTTTTCTATCCCATCCCATCCCATCCCATTATCCTATCCCATCCCATCCTATCCCATCCCATCCCATCCCATCCCATCCCATCCCATCCCATTATCCCATCCTATTCCATCCCATCCCATTATCCCATCCCATCCCTTGGGGTTTGCACCTGGAGGAGGTGGGGATGGGTAGGGGTCACTCAACACTGCTGCTCTGGGGCTGATGATGCTTCCTGTGGCCACCACCAAGCTCCATCCAAGCTCCATCCAAGCTCCTGGGCTTCTTCCCAGCTTTTCTGAGAGCTCCTGGCTGGCCAGGCTCGGCTGGGGTGGTCCCAGGACCCCTCAGCACTCAGTGGTTCAGCTCCAGGATCTGGGCTGGGGGAGCAGCACCACACAACGTGAGGGGAGCAGAGCGAGGCAGGCAGAGCTCCAGGGGCCCATAAACACCTTAAAGCAACATCTGGAGAGCTGCTCGGGAAAAAATAAACAGATTTTTATTTATAAGTGATGTGGTTTGGTTTTTACGGCGTTTTGATGATGCACATAAATTATTGTTTAAAACCAGAGGACGTAAAAAGTTCCAGGAGGAGGCAGTTGTTGCCTTTGATAATCTCTTTCCTGAGGAATTTGCTGTGTTTTATTTTCAGCTGGCGGTTCCTTCTATTGGCAACTGGAAAATCTCACAATTGCTTTTCATCTTTATTTGTGTCTGTAGTTCTAAGCTCAAAAAGTTTATTCCTATTTACAGTGTTTACTATTTAAAAAGACAAAATGCGCTTACTGAAACAACTCCACGTGCGGCGGAATGATGGGAAAGTCACTTTTCTCTGATATTTGTGGTTGGCTCATCACTTTGGAGGTTCACTGTGTTAGTTTGAGACCTCAGAGGTTTGGGGGTGCGTGCAGCTGATGCAGGAGATCAGGGACCTGTCAGTGACAGGGTGCCCCAGTGCTGGGGGATGCTGTGCCTTTCCCAGTGCTCAGGATTTAAACACTGATGGCTAATTAAAGAGTGCTGTGGGCTGTGTTGGGGGACTGAACACAGCTTTTTGCAGGACTGCATTGCTGTGTCTCCACATCTCAGCTGGGTTCCCACACCAGGCACACACAGCAGGATGAGCAGTGTGGGATGAGCAGAGCAGGATGTGCAGTGTGGGATGTGCAGAGTGGGATGTGCAGGATGAGATGCGCAGTGTGGGATGTGCAGTGTGGGTTGTGCAGAGTGGGTTGTGCAGAGTGGTTTCCCACACCAGGCACGTGGAGCAGGATATGCAGTGTGAGATGTGTAGTGTGGGATGTGCAATGTGCACCAGAGCAGGATGAGCAGTGTGGGATGTGCAATGTGGGATGTGCAGTGCGTACCAGAGCAGGATGTGCAGTGTGGGATGTGCAGTGTCTACCAGGCACACACAGCAGGAAATGCAGTGTGGGATGTGCAGTGTGCACCAGAGCAGAATGAGCAGTGTGGGATGTGTAGAGTGGGTTCCCACACCAGGCACACACAGCAGGATGAGCAGTGTGGGATGTGCAGAGTGGGATGAGCAGTGTGGGATGTGCAATGTGCACCAGAGCAGGATGTTCAGTGTGGGATGTGCAGTGTGCACCAGAGCAGGACATGCAGTGTGGGATGTGCAGTGCGGGATGTGCAGTGTGGGATGTGCAGTGTGTACCAGGCACATACAGCAGGACATGCAGTGTGAGATGTGCAGTGTGGGATGTGCAGAGTGGGATGAGCAGAGTGGGATGTGCAGTGTGGGATGTGCAGTGTGGGATGTGCAGTGTGGGATGTACAGTGCGGGATGTGCAGTGCGGGATGTGCAGTGTGGGATGTGCAGTGCGGGATGTGCAGTGTGGGATGTGCAGTGTGTACCAGGCACATACAGCAGGACATGCAGCGTGGGATGTGCAGTGTGGGATGTGCAGTGTGGGATGTACAGTGCGGGATGTGCAGTGCGGGATGTGCAGTGTGGGATGTGCAGTGCGGGATGTGCAGTGTGTACCAGGCACATACAGCAGGACATGCAGTGTGGGATGTTTTCCCTCTGTGGCTGCACTCAGTGCTGGAACGTGCCTCAAGCTGGAGCGAAGCCCCTGGAGGGGCCGAGAGGAGCAGCGGCGTTGGGTGACCTGCCTGTCCAGATGCCAATGTCCATCTCTTTCACAATTCTTATTTTGCAGTTGTCCCCACAATTCAGGAACTTAAATCCAGCGGTGTGATGCTTGGAGGGAACGGCCTGATCCGGTGCGAAGGTGCAGGAGTGCCTGCCCCGGACTTTGTGTGGTACAAAGGAGAGAGGAAGTAAGTAGCCCCTGCTCGCCCATCCCGCGTGTGCCAGGGCTGCTGCCAGGCTGGGGCTGCCCGGGGTGCCCATTCCAGCACCTTCCCAGCCCCAGCAGCAGTGTTTGGAGCTTGGAGCTTGTACCAGTGTGCCTGGTACACACTGCTTGGGGCTGCTGGAGCTGCCCCGTGGCTCCTGTTGTGGCACAGGGGAAATGGCACAGCCCGACATCCAAAGGCAGCTCATTAAACAGGGAGGTGTTTGCTTTCCAGCAGGACATTTTACAGCTCTGGGCCTTTGCAGGAGCTCGATTCTCTTGGGCTCACAGGCTGCAGAGGCAGGTGGATATTGTCCCTTGGAGCTGGGGAGCTTCAGGAATTTCCCAGCCTCCAAGCGCTGGGTTTGTCAGCTCGAACATCCCATTAAACCTGGAGCTGGCAGGAGAATATTAATGACCCTTTTTCACAGAAAGCCATCTGTCAGCTCCCTCCTCAGCTGCTCCCCTCCTGCAGCACGAGCTGCTGTCCTCCTCCCTCTGCTGAGCCATGGCATCCCGCCGTGTCCTGCAGCTCCTCTTCAGCTGATCTTCCCTGTAAGGACAGGAGTGTTTCTGTGTGCTGGTGAGATCCATCTGCACCCCATTTCCATGGCTGTGTTGCTGCGCCCATCCCGGGGCCATTGCAGCACACACACCCTTTCTGAGGGAGTATTTCAGAGCAGGTTTGGGCACTCCAGGTTCAGTTAGCATCTCCCAGCATGCTGATCACCTCTCTGTTTGTAGCTCAGCCCTGCTGAGCACATCCATGGCAGCAGCAGGAAAGGCTGAGCAGAGCATTTCAGGACACCCAGGTGTGCATTTCAGGACAGCCAGGCTGAGCATTGCAGGATATACAGGCTGAGCATTTCAGGGCACCCAGGCTGAATATTTCAGGACAGCCAGGCTGTGCATTTCAGGGCACCCAGGTGTGCATTTCAGGGCACTCAGCCTGGGCATTTCAGGGCACCCAGGCTGTGCATTTCAGGGCACCCAGGCTGTGCCTCTGCTCCTGTGCTGGTGCAGTTTCACCTCTGCAGGAAATCTCTGTGCTGCTGGCTCTTGCTGCTCAAATCCTGGGTTCCATCTAGTGCTCCAGCCTTTCAGGAGCTGGGCTCTGGGGATCCTTGGGGTCCCTTCCAGCTCAGGGCATCCTGTGAGCTCCTGCTGGGGATCTCTGAGCCCCATCCCTTGCAGGAAAGGGGAAAATACCCAGTGTCACTATAGGACACAAAAAACCCACAAGTGCACACCACTGTTCTCAAGGTAAAAAAGGGGAGTTTATTTTCTGACTCCAACATTTATAGATTCCCAAAAGTGACAGTGGATTGGAGGGTGACCGTGCCACCTCCCCAATGACACTGGACAAACCAACAGTCCATCAAATTTCTCCTCCTCCATAAAGGAATGCAAAACAATGAGTTATTTACAGAAAGTGTGTGAGAAAGTTCACAACAAGAATATAAACATCAGAAGGTTTAGAAAATCTTTAAAAACCAGGGTGACAGCCCAGATGTGGTTCTTTGCTGGCTTTGGATCCAGTGTCTCCCTCTGCCTCTGGGTGATGGGCCCTGGCCAGCTCAGGATGGACCTTGGCTAGCTCAGCATGAGCCATGGCCAGCTCAGGCACTGCTTTCAGCTCTCAGAGAGCATCTCCATTACCCTGCAGATAATTTCCAGCTGTGCTCCACGGCTGAATTTGCTCCCTGGGAGTGCACACCCTGCTGGATTCCCGGCTAACACAATAGAGAGGATCCCATTTTTGTCAGATACTCTTGGGCTGGGACTCCTCTTTGTTAGAAATCTGGATGGATTGCTCAATAAATTAGCAGTGGGAGTTAGCCCTGCAATCGTAAGTGTGTGTGCAGTGTCTGAAACAAGGCTTTTGGGGGTGGAAATTGCATTGTTGTTACTGAGATTGATGTGAATCCAAAAGCACCATTCCCAGGCTCCAGGGATCACCTCATCATAAAATACCCATTAAAGCTAAACACAGAGGCAGTAACAGACTGCACTGAGTTAAAGTTATTGCTCTTTGAGGCAGGGAGGGCTGGTTCTGCTAATCACTGCCTTCCCAGGAGCTCTGCTCAGCAAATTCCCACAGGAGCTGGTGCACAGGGTGGGGAGAGCTGGAGAAAATTTGGGGGAGAAGTTAATGAATCATCTCAAAACTGTCCTAGAAACATCACATGGTTGGGTTGGAGGGGATCTTGAAGTTGATTCCATTCCAACCCCCTTCCTCTGTGCCAGGGGGCTCCAGGGTGGATCCAGGGGCACTTCCAGGGTTGGGTGTCAGGAATGTGTGTGGCTCTGGACATTGCTGGGGATCCCCTGTGCAGAGCACCATGGCTTCAGTGAGCCAGCTCTGAACCCAGGCTGTGTGCCGGGCTTGCAGGAATTGGAGCTCAGACATTAAACAGCCACAGGGAAGAAGCCCAGAAGTCACCTAAATGAAATATTAAAGTATTCATTCCCTTTTCCCTCTCAAAGCAAACAAGGCTTACGTGTGGAATGACAAAGCTCGTTATCATGGTTCCATCAATTACAGCACGGCGCAGGTGCTCTGGGATGGAGGCAGAGGCAGGGCCTGGGGCTGGCACTGGGGGAGCTGGGGATGCCAGGGGTCCATCCTGCAGTGAGGAGGGGCTGGCACTGCCCTGGGTACACAGGGCACGGGGAAGGGGCGTGCAGGGCGGCTGCACACACACAGAGAGCTGCTGTGCACACCCAGAACATTATTGTACACCCCAGAGTGCTGTTGTGCCCACCCAGAGTCTGTTGTGCACACCCAGAGTGCTGCTGTGCACACCCAGAGTGCTGCTGTGCACACACAGAACATTATTGTACACCCCAGAGTGCTGTTGTACACTCCCGGGACACTGTTGTGCACACCCAGAGTGCTGCTGTGCACACCCAGAACATTATTGTACACCCCAGAGTGCTGTTGTACACTCCCGGGACACTGTTGTGCACACCCAGAGTGCTGCTGTGCACACCCAGAACACTGTTGCACACCCCTCAGGATGCTGTTGCAGCCTGGCAGTCACTGGGTGAGGCCCAGCAATAAATGATTACATAATAAACGCTCATATAATAAATGATTATACAATAAATGATAAATGTGAGCTCGGTGCTGAGCGTGGCCAAGCCGCGCACGGAGCAGCAAATTCCCCAGGAACAGTTCCTGCTCCTCCAGCTGCACACAGACACCCTGGGCAGCCCCTGCTCTGGGAATTGTGTGCTCATCCATCTGCATCCCTGCCCACTTCTGTGTGCTCCAGGATCCCAGCCCTGGGCCCCAGTGCCAGCCCCGTGCCAGCAGGGCTGCAGGGGACAGTAGGGACAGTGACAGGGGAAGGGCCCCGAGCTGGCACCCCTGGGCAGCCCGGGGGCACCAGGTCACAGCAGGCAGGCACTGTCACTTGTTTGAGGCAGATGTCCCCTGGGACAGGGCATGGTGACAGCAAAGAGGCTCTGCAATCCCATTTCTCTGTGTTTCATGCCCACGGGGTGTGGCACGTCCTGTCCCCAGCCCTGGGCTGGAGGAGCAGGGTCCTTCACAGCAGCACCACCTGCCCAGGGAGCAGAAATCCCCGTGTGAGCAGCACCTGCAGGGCCCTGATGGAACAGGGGCACCCCATGGCAATGAGCAGTGCTCACTCCACAGCCTGCACAAGGGCAATTAATGACAGATTTGCCAGGGTTTGCAGACAGAACGGTGGAAGATGGCACTAATTCCCAGGATATATGATTATATCCTTCAATATAGCCGACAAAAATTGCATTCTTAATCCAAAACTCTGCTCCTTGTGGGAAATGGAAGGAATTATGAGTAATAACTGTGGCGAGTTTTTAATAACACGGTTCCCCTTCTCGTCTCCTTGTTTGATCAGACGTGGCTTGCCTAGGACAACATCATTGAATGGGTTCTCCTGCTTTGTCCTGGTGCCCAGCAGTGCTCCTGGCACGGCTTTGGGAGCAGTATCCACACACCTGCATTTTCCCTGTGACTTTGGGGTGGGCAGCTCCAAGCTGGGTGAGAAGAGCCCTGATTTGGCTTTTTTCTGTGCTTCATTACCTGCTGCTGCCCAGGCTGCTGCCTCAGCAATGCTGCTGGAGCATTTTGTCCCTAATTGCAAGCCTCATTTGCAGCTGTGGAGCCCCATAAACAAAACCACGGCCACAATCCTGGCTCCTAATCCTCACCAGCCAGAGCTGTGACAGCACACAGCAACCTCCAGAGCCTGAAAAGACCCCCTTGAAATGACTCTCTTAGAAAGGCTTACCAGGACCCTTTCTGCCCCAGGGGGGTATTTCAATTCCCAGTTGGCTTTGCCCAGTTTAAAACCCAAGTTCTGCATGCAGGGTTTGTGTCCCTGCTCCTGCAGGCAGGAAGGGCTGTGGGTGTTTCTCTTCTCTCAGCTGCAGGGCATTGAGGCAGCACGGTTCCCCTCGCACCCCAGCCCCAGGGCTCCCCAAAGTGCCAGCAATTGTGCTCAGCACAGCTCACAAAGAGCTCACCGTGCTCCCGGGGCTGGCTGTGAAACCAGGAAAGAAAAGAGAGCTGTGAATAAAAAATAAAATAAAATAAATCTTGGTTGTGGTATATGAGTTATAGACATTTTCTTTTTGCTTTCTAGACTGATCAATGGTCAACAAGGAATCACTATTAAAAATTATAGTACAAGATCCCTTCTTACTGTTACCAATGTGACAGAAGAGCACTTTGGCAACTATACTTGTGTCGCTGCCAACAAGCTAGGGACGACCAATGCCAGCCTGCCTCTCAACCGTAAGTAACGGGGACGTGGGGCCAGAGCTCTGCTTGCTTCCTGCCAGCCCCGAGGCTCCCACAGCCACAGGAGCAGAGTGTTTGTTCCCCCCGAGCACCTGGAGGTGCCCCTGTGCCCGTCGGGGCTCGGCGTGCCGCGAGTTCTGAGCGTGGGGTCTGAGAGTGGGGTCTGTAATTGGGGTCTGTGCTGGGGTTTGGGGCATCAGGGGCTGCGGCAGCAATCCCAGCTAACCCTCCCTGCCGTGGTGGTGCACAATGGGCACAGGCACAGCTTCCTGTGATCCTGTGATCCTGTGATCCTGTGATTCTGTGATCCTGTGATCCTGTGATCCTGTGATTCTGCTATTCTGTGATTCTGTGACTCTGGTTCCTGCTCCCAGCAGCAGCTCCAGATCCCAATGGGGGCACTGCCAACAGGGGCAGAGATTTCCCAGCACATTCCCAGGGGCAGCCTGAGCTGCGGAGCTGGGCAGTGCCAGGGCTCTGTCCCACCTGGCTCTGGCAGTAGGTGCAGAGGCACAATGGGCACAGGCACAGCTTCCTGTGATTCTGTGGTTCTGTGATCCTGTGATTCTGTGATCCTGTGATTCTGCAATTCTGCTATTCTGTGATCCTGTGATTCTGTGATCCTGTGATCCTGTGATTCTGCAATTGTGCTATTCTGTGATCCTGCGATTCCTTGATCCTGTAATTCGGTGATTCGGTGATTCCCAGGGGCAGCCTGAGCTGCAGAGCTGGGCAGTGCCAGGGCTCTGTCCCACCTGGCTCTGGCAGTGGGTGCAGGCAGAGCAGTCTCTTGGAGAAGACAATGAGCAGTGTGAGAGGTGATGGATGCTCGGCGTGGAGGCTGCCCCAAAGGGCCCCAAGGTGCTGCTGGGGAGGGATTTTTGTCTCTGCCTTTATAGCATTTCAGTGCTGCTGGGTGTTCAGCCATCTGCTGCTGGGTCCAAAGGTGTTCCTGGTGCAGCTCTGGTGCTGCTCTCTTGTTCTGATGGTGATAAAAGAGAGACAAAACTCCTACACTTAAATATATTCCTCACCGCGTGGAAATGCAGAGTAGCTCAAATCCCACAATTATTGCCTTCCTGCCATGAAATTTCCTCCTGAACCTGCTCCCCATATGATGAGTGTTGTCAGAGGTTCTGAATTCCTGCAGGAGAGATGTAGCAGGCACAAAATAACAGGGAGCCTTTGCTGCCATTTATTTCATATTTGAGGGATCATTACCAAAGCGGGAACGACGTTACACTTATTTTAAACAGAAAATGCGAGTGAAAACAAAGGAATATTAAGGCAGAAGGAGCTGGAATTTGGTGTATTTGCAATTCAGAGCAGGTAGAGGGAAGGTCTGGCTTCATTTGAACAGAGCAGAGCTGAATCTGTCTCTGAGCTGCTGCCAGGGTTTTTTCCATCTTAAATTGTAAGGTGCCTTGTAGCCACCCTTACAAAGCACTTTGAGAGGCAGAGGTTGAAAATGTCACAGAAGTGCCAAGTGCACCGGTACAAATCATAAAAATAGATGTTCTCCATCATGAAAGAAAGGGGAGGTGGGAAGCAGAATGGTCTGAGAGAAAATTCTGGAAATCTGGGTCTGCTCCTGACCTCGGGAGGGAAATGGGGGAGTGTTGGCTCAGAGGTCTGACTCAAAGAGCAAGCTGAAATGTCTTATTTTATACTGTGGTTGCTTTAATCCTAAAGGTGGTGATCTGGATCTTGGTTGCGAGTGAGGATCATTTGGTGAAGTGTTTCCTTTGCTTACAATTTACATTAGTATTATCTAGAAGCATTATCCCTTTAAAAAAAAGACAAAAATAAAGTAACAATAATTCTCTGGGTAGCAACTTGCTAAGCATGGACTCCTTAATCCCCGAGTGAGAATGCTGTGCTGTGAAACTCTTGCATTTCATTTAGCTGGCAGGGAGAGTGGCCATATGTGCAGGTTCAGGTGTGTGTGAGGGAGCTCTGCAGCACTCAGGAACCAAATGTGGGCTCAGGGCAGCTCCATTTGCTACTGGAGAGTAGCAAATGGAATAGAACTGCTGCCCCATTGCAGGGCCTGGGGCTGCTCTGGGGCCACACGGTCTGAGTGAGGTTCTTTACAAAACCTGGCAATCCACAGGAAGCATCCTTTCCTAACAGCTGCCAGAGAAATTGCTTTTTCCATGGCTGGTTCTGTGATCCAGAGGTGTTCCTGATGTCCAGGTTCACACAGAATCCTTGCATGTACTGCCAATAACTAGGAAAAATGTAAATAGTTGTGAGAATCTGCCCAAGACGTCAGGAGTGACATTGGGAAGGAGAAGGAGAGGGATCTGGTGATATTTTCTGTGCTGATTCCATCACACAAGGACTCCACTGAGCCAGCAGCTGCCTGTGCCCTCCTGGCTGGTGGCACACGTGTGGAATCTCGTCTCCACACTGCGGAGGCACCACACCATGCCCTCAATTTCCATGTGCTGCTTGCCTTGTGAGCTGGCATGAGGAGGAGAGCTCTCGGGGTTTCTGTTAGAGTCTCTCTTTCCCACCCTGAGATCAAGGAAGGAGCCAGGATTCTCTGGCTGTGGTTTTCAAGGTTGTTTATTCTCTGTTACCTATAACAATCTTTCTCTGACCTGCTGAAGTCTGTCTAGCAAGTTGGTCCATGGCACACTGATCACCCCATAGGCAGTGTTATTTTCTTGTACTAAAAACTACATGTACATTATTTACAATAATTTTCCAGTACCTATCACCTATGAGACACTGTGTTTCTACTCTAAACCAATCCAAAAAATGCCACCATCACCTGTCACTGTAGGATACCAAACAACACGAGCACACACCACTGCTCTCAAGGTAAAAAAGGGAAGTTTATTTCCTGACTCCGACATTTATAGATTTCCAAAAGTGACAGTGGATTGGAGGGTGACCGTGCCACCGCTCCAATGACACTGGACAAACCTTCTGCTCAGTCTTGGCTCCACAGCTTTGCCTGGCCCACCAAATCTGACATTTCTGGAGAGAAATGCACTCTCCAGGGAAATTCCCTTTGTGTCCACAGCTTCTGCTGTTGTCCAATTACCTAAGAAAGATTTTGCTATTTTATCTCTCAAATACCAGCCTGGAAAGCAAATCAAATTTCAATTTGCATAGTTCTGTCTCAGCCAGGAGGGCTGGTCTGCATCAGAAAATATAATAGGAAGAGTGTCTGTAGGTATATATATATATATATATATTTATAAGCTTAAATGAAAATTCCTGCTCTCATTAGGAGCCTGCTGGAGTCAGTCAGAGGACAGATATTGATTTAGCAAGGTTTGGGTGCAGCCCAGGGTCTCCAAGAGCCATCAGTGTGCAGAGAACTGGAGCCCTGCAGATCATTGTCCCTTCACCCCTCCCTGGGCGCTGTCCTGAGCTCATGTGGCTGTTTCTAATTAATGGCCAATCACAGCTGGTTTGGACTCTTTGTCTGAGCTACAAACCTTTGTTATCATTCCTTCCTATTCTGAGGGCACCCAGTTGTGACCGCGTTCACAGGGGTGCCAGGATGAGGGAAGAGACGAGGATCTGACCCCATGGTTCAGAAGGCTGAGTTATTGGGGTTTTTTATATATATTACATTAAAACTACACTAAAAAAATAGAAGAAAGGATTTCATCAGGAGGCTGGCTAAGAATAGAATAGGAAGGAATGATAACAAAGGTTTGTGGCTCGGCTCTGTGTCCGAGCCAGCTGACTGTGATTGGCCATTAATTAGAAACACCCACATGAGCCCAATCCCAGATGCACCTGTTGCATTCCACAGCAGCAGATAACCATTGCTTGCATTTTGTTCCCGAGGCCTCCCTGCTCCTCAGGAGGAAAAATCCTAAGGAAAGGGTTTTCCATAAAATGTCATAACTACACATGCACTCCACAGTGAAATGCTCCTGGAGTCCAACAAGCTGGTGAGAATTCAGAGCAGCAGGGCTGTGAATGCACAGAAAGCTCAGAGACCCAGGGCATTGATGGAGCGCTGCTGTTCCAATGGAAAACAGCTCTGAGAGCGGCCAGCCAGCCCCAGAATTCCCAGATTCCGGCATTCCCAGCCAGGAAAACCTCCCTGCCCTCCCTGTGCCCTGGAACAGCAGCTCAGCTGAGCCTGAGCCCCTGGCAGGGCTGCTCCAGAGCACATTGCTGCAACTCTGCACCTTGGATTCATCCATTCCAGACAATGAGATGAATGGCCAAATCCCCCATTTGTGCAAGTCATAACAATTCTGTTAAACGCTGGGGTTGAGCTCCTTCCATATGGATGCCAACTGCTGCTCCAGGTAACAATTACCGAGAGTTATGGAGGAATTTTCTCTAAATCCATTTTCCAGCTTGAGCTTTATTATGAATTATATGACAATAAGTGACTGAGATGGGATGAGGCAGAAATAACCCGTTTGAGCAAGGCCAGGAACGCGAGTTTCTCCTTGACGTGTAGAGGAAATTTAAAGGCCTGGGAGTGGATCAGAGAAAAATCAAACAAAAATCAATGACAAGCCACAGGGTCTTTGCTGTGGGTTTTTGCTGAAGTTGTTCCAATGCTCTGGTTTGTTCAATTTGCGTTTATATGTGCAAATTGTGCAGTTACCCACAGCTCACAGGGTTCAGACTCCTCTTTTTGCCCACCTGGTTAAATCAGAGGTGTTGAGGCGTGGCTAAATCTTCATCTCAATTATCAGTTAGTTATTATAAAATCCTTGAATATCCTGGGTGGGGAGGGACCACAGCGATCCCTGACCCAGCTCCTGGCCGTGCACACACCCGACAACACAACTCCCCCTGCCCCTGAGAGTGTGCTCCAAGCAATGATTAAAACATTCCATGGAATTTAAAATTTAAAATTTATTTTTAAACATTCCATGGAATTTAATCCCCTGCCTGTGCCCCCTCAGGGTGAGAGGCACCCATGGGCAGAGCTCGCTGCACCTCGAGTTCCTTCTCAGAGCACAAAACCTCACAGGAAATTTTTAAAAAATTGAAAATCCAAA